GGGTGTATGTGTGTGTGTTAGTGTGTGTGTGAGTGTACGTGTGTGTGATTGTACGTGTGCGTGTGTGTGCAGTGTGTGTGTGTGTGTACGTGGTGTGTGCGTTGTGTGTGTGTGTGTGTGTGTGCGTGTGCGTGTGTGTGTATGTGTGTGTGTGTGTGTGTGTTGTGTGTGTGTGTGTGTGTGTTGTGTATGTATGTATGTATGTATCTGACAAATGCATCCGCTTCCTTTCGCTCTTTCCCCATCGGAGAAAGCAAAATAAAAACACGATAATGACACTCACTGTATCATTATCACCACATGCAAAATAACCTTTCATTTCCGGCCAAATGACAGGCCTTAATTACTGTCGCCGAAGACTTAATGACATTGTAATTATGCTCACTTCATCATCATCTCCAAAGCCCGTTCATCATTGTGTTCATCATAACTGAAATTCATGTTTTAATTTCCCGTTGTGTGGCCTTTTCAAGTGTGGAAATCTACTTTTGGGAAAAAATTGTCATATTTATTTGTCATTGTCTGTACATTTCTGTTATTATTGTTGTTGTTATAATTATCATTATCGTTGATATTATTGTCATTATTATTGTTGTTGTTGTTATCATAAATTGTTAGCTGTTATTGGATACATACATATTTGTATATATATATATATATATATATATATATATATATATATATATATGTGTGTGTGTGTGTGTGTGTGTGTGTGTGTGTGTGTGTGTGTGTGTGTGTGTGTGTGTGTGTGTGTACATGTCCTTTTAATATCTTACAGACACTGCTGGTGGGAAAACGACTCTTGTAATAACCATTAAGATCTCTCCCATGCTACTAATGATATTTTTCCTTGTTTTCCCTCCTCGGTGATGCAGGTCAAACTGCTTAAAGTTAAACCATGAGCAAAATAAACAACCAAATGTATGAACCAGTATGTTAACGTCGCGACCTCTTCTTTTCCTGTTGCAGACGCTGCTGGTGCAGGATGAAGCCGGCGGTGTGGTACATGATGATGATCATCGTGGGCTTCTTCTACGTGTACCTGACGGCCATCCAGTACATCCGCGGCCAGGAGCTGGACGAGCCCCCGAGTAACTACCTGCCGCAGTACGACCCACAGTACTTCGATGAGAACCTCTTCAGGTGGGTCGTCTTGGGGTTGTGAGGCTGGGGGGGAGGGGCTGGAGAGAGAGAGAGAGGAGGGAGAAGAGAGGGAGAGAGAGAGAGAGAAAGGGAGGGAGGGAGAGGGAGAGATAGAGAGAGAGAGAGAAGGAGAGAGAGAGATGAGAGAAGAGAGCACAGACATCCGCGGACAGGAGCTGGACGAGCCCCGAGTAACTACCTGCCGCAGTACGACCCACAGTACTTCGACGAGAACCTCTTCAGGTGGTCGTCTCGGGGGTTCGTGAGGCTGGGGGGGGGGGGTGCTGGAGAGAGAGGGGAGGGAGAAGGGAGGAGAGAGAGAGAAGAGAGTGAGAGAGAGCAACACTCAAAGACGCGCGTAGGGTGAGAGAGAGAGAAAGATAGAGAGGAAGAGAGAAAGAGAGAAAAAAATAGAGAGGAAGAGAGAGACAGAGAGAATATGGGAGAGAGAGATAGACTCTCAAAGACACGCACGCAGCGAGATAGAGATAGAGAGAGAGAGAGAGAGAGACAGACAGAGACAGAGAGAAAGAGAAGGATAGAGTGAGAGAGGGAACGAAAATGTCGAAAGCAAAACGCACCCGTAGTAGGCAATAAAAAACCCCGGAATGGAGTTGAAACGCACACAGACCGAAATAAAGTAGATTTCGTCCAGGGAAAAGCGAGCTCCCACAGACCAGACCTGATTCGCCGGCCATGACTCGGTTCTTTAAAAATTCGCGCTGATTCTGGAGACAAGAAACCGCTTTAACGCAAGGCTGGACTCTGGGCTGCGAGAGATTCAAGATTAGATTCCGCAAATGAAGATAGATTCTATAGACTCCACCTCGTGTGAATATATGAACAGGTTTGGAATCCATAGACGAGATACAAAGATAAATTCTACAAAGTGAGCAGGACTGGATTCCCCTATAAAACCAGGATTGGAATCCATAGACGAGATACAAAGATAGCCCCTCTATAAAATATATGACAGGAGATTCCAGATAGATTCCATCTCATATGAGCAGGACTGGATTCCATGGATTAGATACAAAGATAAATTCTATAAACTCCACCTCGTGTGAATATATGAACAGGATTGGAATCCATAGCCTAGATGCAAAGATAGATTCTATAAACTCCACCTGTGGAATATACCAGGATTGGAGCTAGATGCTAAGATAAATTCTATAAACTCCATCTCATATGAGCAGGACTGGATTCCATAGACTAGATTCAATAATAAATTCTATAAACTCCACCTCGTGTGAATATATGAACAGGTTTGGAATCCATAGACTAGATCAAATTGACTCACATATATATTGGAATCCACCACTCCACCTCATGTGAATATATGAACAGGATTGGATTCCATAGACGAGATACAAAGATAAATTCTATAAACTCCATCTCATATGAGCAGGACTCCATGGACTACATTCATGGTGTAATATATGAACAGGATTGGAATCCATAGACGAGATACAAAGATAGATTCTATAAACTCCATCTCATATGAACAGGATTGGAATCCATAGACGAGATACAAAGATAGATTCTATAAACTCCACCTCATGTGAATATATGAACAGGATTGGAATCCATAGACGAGATACAAAGATAGATTCTATAAACTCCACCTCATGTGAATATATGAACAGGATTGGAATCCATAGACGAGATCAAAGATAGACCTCCACCTATACTTAGATGCCATCTCCACATATGAGCAGGACTGGATTCCATAGACGAGATACGAAGATAAATTCTATAAACTCCACCTCATGTGAATATATGAACAGGATTGGAATCTATACTATGCTAAGATAAATTGTATTAAACTCCATCTCATATGAGCAGGACTGGATCCATAGACGAATACAAAGATAAATTCTATAAACTCCAAAGAATATATATTGGAATCCATTACAAAGATAGATTCTATAAACTCCACCTCGTGTGAATATATGAACAGGATTGGAATCCATACTCTAGATGCTAAGATAAATTCTATAAACTCCATCTCACGTGAATATATGAACAGGATTGGAATCCATAGACGAGATACAAAGATAGATTCTATGAACTCCACCTCATGTGAATATATGAACAGGATTGGAATCCATACACTAGATGCTAAGATAAATTGTATAAACTCCATCTCATATGAGCAGGACTGGATTCCATAGACGAGATACAAAGATAAATTCTATAAACTCCACCTCATAATATGAACAGGATTGGAATCCATACTCTAGATGCTAAGATAATTCTATAAACTCCACCTCATGAACAGGATTGGAATCCATACACTAGATGCTAAGATAAATTGTATAAACTCCATCTCATATGAGCAGGACTGGATTCCATAGACTAGATTCGAAAATAAATTCTATAAACTCTCCTCATATGAGCAGGACTGGATTCCATAGACGAGACTAGATTACACAGGAAAGATTATGTACTTGGAACACAAGGCTGTATTCCAGAGACTTAAAAACTGAACTAAGTTTTACAAAAGACTTATCTAAGTTCTAGGAGAGAGATCTAAGTTCTAGTTGCATATGTAGACAAAAACTGCTAATTACTAGACCGTATTTTAGAGACCGAAATTAATGTATAGTATGAACTATTCAGAGATTCGTGATCAAGGCTAGATGAACAATAATAAATATGAACTAAACTGGATTATATAGAGCAAACTATTTTTTTTTTTTTTTTTTTTTTTTTTTTTTTTTTTTTTTTTTTTTTTTTTTTGAGATCAGACAGGATCCCTTACACCAAACTAGATTGTACAGACCGAAATATATTCTGCGGATTAGACCAGACTAGACTATGAAATAGATCAAACTCCTTTTCTGCAGCCCAAGTGACTAGATCATGCAGATTCTAGGTTATATAAACTATAATTTATAGAACATTGAATATTGATTAAGAGGAAAACTTTTGGTCTAATTTTTGATTCAGTAAAGGTACATATGAATATAACGGATGGAGGAGGTGGGAACGAGAGAAGAATAGTAAGAGAGAGAGGGGAGGGGGATAAGAGAGAGATAGAGAGACAGAGAAAGCAAGAAAATGTGTGTGTGAGAGAGAGAGAGAGCATGAGAGAGAAAAAAAGAATAAAACGTGAGAGAGAGGGAGAGGAAGGGAGAAGAGAATAAAAGAGAGAAATTAGGTAAGAAAAAGTATGAGTGAGAGAGAGAGAGAGAGAATGAAAGAGAAAATAAGAAAATATGAGAGAGGGAGAGGAAGGGAGAAGAAAATAAAAGAGAGAAATCAGGTAAGAAAATGTGTGAGTGAGAGAGAGAGAGAGAGAATGAAAGAGAAAAGATAAGAAAATATGAGAGAGAGGGAGAGAGGAAGGGAGAAGAGAATAAAAGAGAGAAATTAGGTAAGAAAATGTGTATGTGAGTGAGAGAAAGAGAAAGAGAGAGAGAGAGAAAGAGACTTTTTTTTAATAAGAAAATGTTTGTGAGAGTGAGAGAGAGAGAGAGAGAAAGAAACTTTTTTTTTATAAAGGAGAAAAAAAAGAGAGAGAAAGAGACTTTTTTTTATAAAGGAGAAAAAAAGCTCGGTTTTGCTTTCTCGCTTTCTGCTCTGATGCATTGAGCCATTCATCTCCTGCAACGTGACTCTGGTGATCAATTGCACGTCAGAAGTTCTCTCGCTCTCTTTCTCCTTTCTCTTTCTCTTTCTCCTTCTCTTTCTCCTTCCCTTTCTCTCGCCTCTTCGCTTCGCCTCTGCTTCCTTCGTCTCAAAACTCTGCATCGCTCTATCTGTCTTATATTCTCTCTGTCTGACCTTTTATCTATCTAACTAGCTATCATTATCTCTTCCTGTTTTTTATCTGTATATCTCTCTATCACACTCTCTCTCCCTCCACCCCCTCCCTCTCTCGCTCTCTTTCTCCTTCCCTTTCTCTCGCTTCTTCGCTCCGCCTCTCTTTTCTTCGTCTCAAAACTCTGCATCGCTCTATCTGTCTTATATTCTCTCTGTCTGAGCTTCTATCTATCTATCTGGCTATCACTATCTCTCCCTGTTTTTTATCTGTATATCTCCCTATCACACTCTCTTTCTCTGTTTTTTATCTGTGTGTGTGTATGTATATATATATATATATATATATATATATATATATATATATATATATATATATATATATATATATATATAAACATATACATATATACATATATACATATATATACATATACATATACATATATGCGTGTGTGTGTGGTTATTGTGTGTATGTATTTTTTTTCATATATATATATATATATATATATATATATATATATATATATATATATATATATATATATATATATATATGTATGTATGTATATATACGTGTGCGTATATGCATACATCTCTCTCTCTCTCTCTCTCTCTCTCTCTCTCTCTCTCTCTCTCTCTCTCTCTCTCTCTCTCTCTCTCTCTCTCTCTCTCTCTCTCTCTCTGTCTGTCTGTCTCTCTCTCTCTCTCTCTGTCTCTCTGTCTCTCTGTCTCTCTCTCTCTCTCTCTCTTCTCTCTCTCTCTCTCTCTCTCTCTCTCTCTCTCTCTCTCTCTCTCTCTCTCTCTCTCTCTCTCTCCTCTCTCCCTCTCCCTCTCTCCCTCTCTTTCTCCTTCTCCCTCTCCCTCTCCCTCTCCCTCTCCCTCCCTCCCCCACACCTCGTCTCTCACCTCCCTTTCCCCACTCTCACTCCCTCCCTCCCTCCCCTCCCCTCCCCTCCCCTCCCCCTCTAAACTCTATAAATACTTACCTAACTTTCATTGATCTCTATATAAAGCTAGATTCTCGAACAGATTAAAATTTATAGACCATAACTAGGTAGTTTCCATAGACGAGGGTTATGCCCATTGAACTAGACTCTATGAATATTTCAATGGAGATTGTTATATATGAGAAACGGATATATTAGATGAACAAATGAATAGAGGTGGAGATGGATTATATCAATGAAGATATTTAATTTAAAAAGGATTAATAATCAAATTTAGTGAATGTGAATTAAAGCATTTATTAAATATATGTAATTTATAATTAGGTTTATTGAATAAAGGAAGAAATTTAATTTCAAATTAAAATTCATGGTTAGATTTAGATTACAAATCTAGGCACTTACTTAACAAACTTAATCATTTATTCAACGAATATAATTTATGAAACAAATTTAGATATTCAACAAATTTGCACATTTAATTTTTCCAAAATTTGACAATTATTCAACAAATTTAGACATTTGATTTTTAAAATTATACATTTATTCAACAAAATTAAGACCCTAATTAATTCAGACATTTATTCAACCAATCAAGCCATTTATCATCCATTCATTAGCTCTATTAAGACCCTAATTAATTTAGACATTTATTAAACCAATCAAGCCATTTATCATCCATCCATTAGCTCTATTAAGACCCTCATTAATTTAGACATTTATTCAACCATTATCTCTATTAAGACCCTAATTAATTTAGACATTTATTCAACCATTATCTCTATTAAGACCCTAATTAATTTATTCAACCAATCAAGCCATTTACCATCCATCCATTAGCTCTATTAAGACCCTAATTAATTCAGACATTTATTAAACTAATTAAGCCATTTATCATCCATTCATTAGCCCTATTAAGACCCTCATTAACTTAGACATTAAACCATTAGCTCTATTAAGACCCTAATTTAATTCAGACATTTATTCAACATTATCTCTATTAAGACCCTAATTAATTTCATTCAACCAATCAAGCCATTTACCATCCATTCATTAGCTCTGTTAAGACCCTCATAATTTAGACATTTTATTAAACTAATCAAGTCTTTTATTCATCCATCCATTTATCTCTATTAAGACCCTAATTAATTTAGACATTTATTCAACTAATTAAGCCATTTGCCATCCAATTCATTAGCCTATATAAGACCCATTCAACCAATCAAGCCCTTTATCATCCATTCATTAGCACTATTAAGACCCTAATTAATTCAGACATTTATTCAACCATTATCTCTATTAAGACTCTTATTAATTTAGACATTTATTCAACCATTATCTCTATTAAGACCCTAATTAATTTATTCAACCAATCAAGCCATTTATCATCCATTCATTAGCTCTATTAAGACCCCTATTAATTTATTCAACCAAATAAGCCATTTATCATCCATTCATTAGCTCTATTAAGGCCCTTATTAATTTATTCAACCAATCAAGCCATTTACCATCCAATTCATTAGCCCTATTAAGACCCTTTATTAATTTAGACATTCATTCAACCAATCAAGCCATTTACCATCCATTCATTAAGACCCTAATTAATTCAGACATTTATTCAACCAATCAAGCCCTTTATCATCCATTCATTAGCTCTATTAAGACCCAATTCAACCAATTAAGCCATTTATTATTCAACCATTAGCCCTATTAAGACCCTCATTAACTTAGACATTAAACCATTAGCTCTATTGAGACCCTAATTAATTCAGACATTTATTCAACCAATCAAGCCCATTAGCCCTATTAAGACCCTTATTAATTCAGACATTTATTCAAATGTCTATTAAGACCCTAATTAATTTAGACATTTATTCAACCATTATCTCTATTAAGACCCTAATTAATTTATTCAACCAATCAAGCCATTTATCATCCATTCATTAGCCCTATTAAGACCCTCATTAACTTAGACATTAAACCATTGGCTCTATTAAGAACCTTATTAACTTAGACATTAAACCATTAGCTCTATTAAGACCCTAATTAATTCAGACATTTATCATTGCATTCATTATCTCTATTAAGACCCTAATTAATTTAGACATTTATTCAACCATTAGCTCTATTAAGACCCTCATTAACGAGACGCGTGGTCCTCCCGCAGCCCGACGACCAGCCTGGACTTCGAGTACCACGACTACACGAGCATGACCTCCTTCCTGAGGGCCATGAGCGCCACCTACCCCAACCTGACGGCGCTCTACTCCATTGGCAAGAGTGTGCAAGGTAAGAGATATTTTTGGTTCTTGTGTGTCTGTTTGTCTGTTTTTCTGGCTGTGTTTCTGTCTGTCTGTTTGTCTGTCTCTGTCTGTCTTTCTGTCTCAGTCTTTCTATCTTTCTTTCTATCTCTCTGTCTGTCTGTCTTTCTATCTGTTTGTTTGTCTTTCTATCTGTCTTTCTGTCTTTTCTCGACCTCACGGCGCTCTATTCCACCGGCAAGAGCGTGCAAGGTGAGGCTTATTTGTGGGTGTTCTTGTGTGTCTGTTTGTCTGTCTGTTTGTCTTTCTGGTTGTGTGTCTGTCTGTGTGTCTCTCTGTATTATTGTCTTGTCTTATTGTCTGTCTTTCTGTCTGTGTCTGTCTGTCTGCTTGCCTGTCTTTCTGTCTACCTCTCTGTCTGTCTGCCTTTCTGTCTGTCAGTCTGTCTGTCTATCTGTCTTTCTGTCTTTTCTCGACCTGACGGCGCTCTACTCCATCGGCAAGAGTGTGCAAGGTAAGAGTTATTTTTGTTTTTTCTTGTGTGTCTGTTTGTTTGTCTGTCTTTCTGGCTGTGTCTGTTTTTCTGTCTGTCTGTCTGTGTGTCTGTCTCTGTCTTTCTATTTGTCTGTCAGTCTGCCTGCCGGTCTTTCTATCTATCTCTCTGTCTGTCTGCCTGCCTTTCTTTCTGTCTTTCTATCTGTCTGTTTGTCTGTCTGTCTGTCTGTGTCTTTTCTCGACCTCACGTCGCTCTACCCCATCGGCTAGAGCGTGCAAGGTAAGGTTTATTTGTGGTTGTTCTTGTCTGTCTCTGTCTTTCTGTCTGTGTGTATGTCTGTGTGTATGTATGTCTATCTGTTTCTCTGTCTCTCAGTCTTTCTGTCTTTCTATCTATCTCTTTGTCTGTCTGCCTTTCTTTCTGTCTTTCTATCTGTCTGTTTGTCTGTCTATCTGTCTATCTTTTCTCGACCTCACGGCGCTCTACCCCCATCGGCTAGAACGTGCAGTTATTTGTGGTTGTTCTAGTCTTATTGTCTGTCTGTCTATCTGTCTGTCTCTAAGTCTATCTATAAGTCTGTCTTTCTATCTGTCAGTCTGTCTGCCTGCCTGTCTTTCTATCTGTCTCTCTGTCTGTCTGTCTGTTATATTATGTCTCATTCTATCTTTCTATCTGTCTTTCTATCTATCTCTCGGTCTGTCTGTCTGTCTCTCGGTCTGTCTGTCTGTCTTTCTGTGTCTTATCTCCACATCACGGCGCTCTGCTCCATCGGGAAGAATTAGAAGATAGATAAACCGATAAATAGACACATAGATAGATGAACAATTGAGCATAAACGATTAGAAAAACATTATTTATTATTTATTAGATAAACGAATTAGAAGATAGATAAATCGATAAATAGACAAACAGATAGATGAATAACAACATAAACGATTAGAAAAACATTATTTATTATTTATTAGATAAACGAATTAGAAGATAGATAAACCGATAAATAGACAAACAGATAGATGAATAACAGCATAAACGATTAGAAAAACATTATTTATTATTTATTAGATAAACGAATTAGAAGAAAGATAAACCGATAAATAGACAAACAGATAGATGAATAATTGAGCATAAACGATTAGAAAAACATTATTTATTATTTATTAGATAAACGAATTAGAAGATAGATAAATCGATAAATAGACAAACAGATAGATGAATAATTGAGCATAAACGATTAGAAAAACATTATTTATTATTTATTAGATAAACGAATTAGAAGATAGATAAATCGATAAATAGACAAACAGATAGATGAAGATTGAGCATAAACGATTAGAAAAACATTATTTATTATTTATTAGATAAACGAATTAGAAGATAGATAAACCGAT